GCTGCCACAGTAGGGAGGGGGGACGATAGTGCTCTAAACCACAGCTGTTAACGCCTTCGTGGCTGTATAATCTCTCACTCCGAGGAGAAATTGTAATTTCCTCACACCCGGGACACTGCACTCCCTGCAGCGTTGTGGCTCCGCGGAGAGCCGAAGACACAAATCTAAATGTATATCTAGTTTGCTTGTTCCCTGCAGGTCTGCTGTAATTGTCTCTCTGTCAGGGTCATTAAGAAGAGGGAATGTTTCTGGTTCAATTCCACAGGGACTCTTCAAACTGTACTGCTGCAAGTAGCAGAGAAGCACCTAACTTCCTCCAAGAAATGACCTCACACTGCAGCACCGAGTGACTCTCAGCCGACACTCGTCTCCGAAAACAAACTGTGATCGGAGGACACGTTCAGGAGAACGTCGGCCCCACCTGACGGAGATGTTAGTGAATGGCCTGAGGAACAGTCACACCGTTAGACTACGCTCAACATTAAGCCACGGCCAGAATGATTCACAGCTTTGTTTTCTCTCTGCAGATTTTGGGTAAACAGTGGAGCGGGACACAGGCTGCTTGTTTCGTTCTCAGAATACGGAAAAACACTCACATTCATTCTTTCCTCATGCCTGTGGCGCATTGTGAAAAAGGCAAATAAGCATATTCCGACCTCAAATCGTTTCAAATATTTATGTCCAGTCAGAATCATTTAAACATTCTGAGTTGAGGCTCAGTTGGTCACATGGACCACAATAGAAAGACCAAAAAAAGGACAAAGTGTTTCAACGCCACGTCGCTGGATCGGATGAAAGAACATTATCTCTTAGACCGGCAGGATCAACTCATTCAACACTTTGGATTCATTACCCTCGAGGAGGCAGTCGTTTCATGTGACCCGGGGCAGGGTGATTCAACACGACATGAGGAGATGAGAGCTGTGGCCCTAGAGCGCAGGAGACGTCAGGTGAAAGTCATGCAGATTGGTTTTAAACACAGCTTCAAACAAAGCCGCAAAAAATAAAAATAAAAACAAAAAAGCTTTAACGTGTAAAGCTCCACATTTGCTGCTACTTTACTGGAAATCACTACTTAAATTCAAATATGTGTCAGCATGTTTCGCTTTTCTCCACATTCTCAATCTGAGCTATCGCTGGATTTGGAGGACTTGTGCTTTCGCTTCCGCTTCCTTTTCTTCTCCTTCTTCTTTTTGTCCTTCTTCTTTTTCCGCTTCTTGCTGCGATGGTGGTGTTTAGAAGAGGAGGATGTGGAAGAGGAGGAGGAGCTGTTTGTATCAGAGGAGGAAGAGGTGGTGTCCTGGAGCAGCTGCTGCAGCTGCTGAATCCTGGAGACGAGACGGGCGAGAAAGAGAAGAAATTGGAGACGAGAGGAGGAGAAGTGATGCAGGCTGGGACGCTCGGTGTGGGGAGAATAGCAAGTGTCTGCACAGATGCACAGGTCGTCTTCTATTACTCTAATGGCAGTGGCTGCAATTAGAGTTCTCAAATACTGGAGATGTGGAGGATTTGCCTCAACAAGATCATTCTGTTCTTTCAGTGTGAGGCTCAAACTTTAATTTAATCCATGATCAACAAACAAACGAGTGTCGTTAGAACGACTTCTACTTCATAACTGGTTTTATATTAAAAAATATAAGAGCTAAAATATCAAACTGCCCCAAAATGCTCTCTTTCTTCAAATAACTCTCTTACATTTACTGGTCCTCAGAGTGATTATCTTAGAAAGGCCAGTTTGGGATAAAGGTAAAACCACTTAAATGTTCAATCAACCACTACAGAGTTGCCATCTCAGAAAAACCTGTCCGCTCTCTGTCGAAATGACCATCAGGCTTAAAAAAGAAATGGCACTGAACCCTGCCATCGCCTCAACAATTGTCCTGTCAATCCAATTTTTAAGGGTTCTCAAAGTAAACGACGTTCATCAACTCTTAAAGGCTTCTGTTCCATCAAAAGCACAGAATGAAAACCATGCAATGAATTCAGAGGAAACTCTTCATATTCTAAATTGCTGAAGGAAACACCAGATCGTGTGTTTTTCATCCTGCTGGTGTTGATAAATGGCTGCTGATTAAAGCACCTTAGACAAACAGACAATAATTAAGACACTGAAGAAAAAAATCCATAGTGAGGTCCAATCTCTACGGAGGGCTCAGCTGCTCAACCTTCTAAGAAAGAGGCTGAAATAATGTGGCACACAGAAACTAGTGAAGCAGCTGAGACCACAGGTCTGACATTTAGATAACCTTTACAGGCCAAATCACACATAACAGGAGCTGGTGGCTACTGTGCACGTACCAGACACTTGGTCTTTGCATCGCACAAAACTATCACTTAAACTCCTGGTGTCAACTTTAATCTTTTGACATCACTTAGGAAACGGAGACATCAGAGGAGACATTTTAGATTCAGTAAAATGATTAAAAAAAATATGGTGTTAAACACGTGGTTCTGGAGTGACGAGGACTTTACATACGTACCTGGTTTCCTTTTCATTTCTTTGGTTTTCCCGAATGATGTCGTACATGGGGTCTTCGTGAGCCTGGGAGGATGAGACACAGTCCGTCATTGGTTACGCCCAAAGAGACTCAGAGCTAACGCTGAGAGCGGCTGAAATCAATGTTGAATGCAGGACATTATTTGTGCAAGGCGCTAACCGTTGGCCTTAAATACATGCTTGAACACCCTGTCAGCATTTTTAAAAACTCCCTGTTACAATACAAGCTGGAGGAAATATAAAACTGTTGCACTTATGGTAATCACTGCAGAGGCCCGTGTACTCCTGCAGCAGTTCCTGCTCTGATTCACTTTGAAGGAGGCAGTGTGATGACGACTGCTGCCAACATGTTCCTCAGTGTAAACCACGAGGTGCCTCACTTCTTCTCCGCGGTCAGGAGGGACAACAGTGCCTCCAGTTTTTATACAGAATGATACTATCTCCAGAATAAAATGAAGGGGCGGGGGTGATTTGGATGAACAGCTGACACACTTACAACTCTGAACTGCTCCAGTTTCTGGTTTCCTTTTATAAAGAAAGGACACTCTCTGTCTCCGGTCCTGTGTCCATAACGCTTGCATCTCCAGCCTTAAAAAAAAAAAAAAAGGCAACATCAGAAACAGACATTAACCTGTCAGGTGGGATGCACTGATATGCAGTTTCTGTCGGTGTGTTTGAACAACAACATAAACATCATCACCTGCTGCTTTAATTTATTAAGTCATCAAGTTTAAGTCATCATCATGTGGAATTAGGGGACATTTCCTGGTAAAATGACATACTGTGGCTAAATATGTGGTTCAATAAAACCCATATGTACATGAAAAATACACAGCAAGTGAACCGGCTAACCATTAGAGCTTGTGTAAGGGGTTGCTTTATTTTATTTTGATATTTTATGAAATTTCATCAGCCAAGAAACATTTGCCCGACGGAGACACTTGATTTTTGAAATCACTTATTACAACAGCACCTCTTCACCTTGTCTGAATGTTGCACACACACAGCTGTGTACACTCTCTGAATCTTTGTCCGGTGACGCCACACCACTTATCGACAAACAAAAGCAGATGGGTGTCAAACGTTTACTTGTGTTCAATTGTCCACAGTCAAGTGTCTCTATTATTCCAGAGAGATGACATAATCAAATGTTTTTTCCTCAGAACAAGTTTCCATCAGATTCAGCAGAAGACGAACCAAGTAAAGGTCAGGGTTCATGGGGGCAGGGTACATTTTGTGTGTGTGTTCTGTCTCTAGCTCCTCATGCAGCATGAAAATAAGTTGGATGGAATAATCAGTGGACATTCACAAAAAGTCTTTGCCCAAGAGCAGAGAAAGTGAAATTCATGTCCACTTTGCAGGAGCTTCTTATAATCAAATACACACTATATATATATATCTATATATCAACTCTTTCTATCTATCTATATATATATATATATCAACTCTTTCTATCTATCTATCTATATATATATATATATACACACATATATATATATACTGTGTATATATATATATATATCAACTCTTTCTATCTATCTATCTATCTATATATATATATATATACACACATATATATATATACTGTGTATATATATACATATATCTAAATACACACCATATAATGTTAATTGAATCAGATGACCAGGCTCATGTTTATTCATAACAGTAACTGGCCTCCTCCTCATTTAGTCCGATGTACAATAGACCTAATACCATTCACTTCATGACATCATTAATCTGGTGGTGGACAGAAGAAGCCTCATGTGAGCTCCACTGAAGCACTCATTAACTCATTAACGACCACACATTCCAGCAGCGTCTGATGAGTCTGTTGTGGCAACAGTTTCAAACCAACTGTACAAAAACAACAAATAACTGCATACAACGTCTCCTGCGATTCACACAAACCCAGTGTGATGAGCAAAACTAATTCAATAGCATATCTAGGTTTGCGTGATAATAACGATAATAATAATAATAAACATTAAGATTAAAACACCTACATTATGTGATGGGTAACTATAGAGTTTGGAACAAACAGAAAAGATGACTATGAGAGTATGTTGATAAATGTAGCTTGACAACTCATTCCTACTTCTGACATTCCCAGGTACTTTCCAATCCCTAAGGACTCTTTACTCCTAACGGCAGGAGTCGTAGCAATAATACTCACACTGCATCACCTTCACTTCTTTCCCCAGAGGCATCCACAGCCCCTTGGTGGGGGCATGTGCCAGGAAGTTCCTGGCATCTTCGTTCCCGGG